GAACTGCAAAATCTCTTCGACAAAGGACCGCATGGTACCTACGCGGTGGATTGAGATTGACAAGAATGAACATCTCCGTAGACCGGGTAACCCTTCGGTCGCACCGCAGTGCAACGATAGATTTGTCGTGCGCGGAGACTCGGGAGTCGTCGGCATCCGCGCGGCCCGCACGGACTCACCAACATGCAAGCTTGAAGGGCTAAGGTTGATAGTATCATGGGCCGCCGGCACAAAGAAGACTCTCAAGTGCGCCGACATTACATCTGCGTGCTTCCACGGTCAGGAACTCGACCGCCTCATGCTGCGCAGGCCACCGCCCGACGGACTCGAAGGAGTACCGGTTTTTGGAGCACTGGGAGCACTGATCGCGCGCGCGCCTGCCTATGGCACGCGTGACGCAGGACGAGGTCCATGGCAGAAAATTAGCAAAAGGTTTGAAGCCCATGGTCGAAAGAAGAAACGTATCATGCCTGATTTGTTCAGTATTCACAATGACAAGACTGAGGTCACGTGTATGTTAGGTACACATGTAGATGACATACTATGGGCTGCAGATGGTAAAACCAGAAAATCATCGATTCGGTATCAGCAGAGTTTGATACTCGCGAGACCAAGTCGGATGAGTTCCGTTATTGTGGTGAAGAAGTTGTTCAAGATGAAGATTGTGCGGTGAGTATCACAGCCAAGAGCAATATAGAGAAGATCGAAGCTGCATCCGACCCCAGAGACAGCCCCCTCATGAGAAAATCCAATGGGTGAGACAGCGCAGCTCAGATCGGTCGTGGGTGCTTTGTCATGGGTTACACGTCAGTGTAAACCTGAGCTGTTGTATCGTGTGAGCAGACTGCAGACAGCAGCGCGTCACGCTAAGGTACTCCATCTCAAAGAAGCCAACCGCGTATTAGAAGAAGCAACTCATTCCGCCGACTGCGGATTAGCATTTAAAGGCGGAGCTGTTAAGCGGAATCCAGATATGATAGTCCTTACCGTTACTGACGCCAGGTGGGCAGGAGAAGAGGATATCGTCGAGGGTAGAATCGAGCCTCTCAGATCACAGAGGGCTAGGTTCAATGGACTCACAGGGCCTGGATTCATCGTGGGGAACAGTGATCATGTTCACCCTATATGTATACCTAGTGAAATTATTAAGCGAGCATGTAAATCGACACTATAAGCAGATGCCCAGGCTTGTTTATGGGCGTAGAACCTGGTGTACGCATTCGCGCCGCCATCGCAGATGCGCGCGGGGTGCTTGGCGCCGGACAGAAGCTACCAACCACTTGGGAAGACAAGCCAGCCATATCTATGAGACATTTATGGATGACGGAGTGTAGAAGCCTTGTAGAACGCTGAATAGCCCCAACTATGGGCCAGACAGAAGATAAGCGCTTGAGTCTTGATTTAGGTAGATTGGGACAGGATGTTTGGACTAATGCGTTGGAAGAAGTAGAGACTTTACAGCCAAGCATATTTGGTGATAAGGCCCCATGGATCGATACAAGTATTATGGCTGTTGATAGTATGACGAAGAATATGCCTACGGATTTTCTTGCTAAGATCTTACGTACTAGTTCGTATGACGCAACCCCAGACCCTGAAACTACCTTCGGTGAAGTGAGTGACTTAGTCCTGGCTGCCTGTGGCTTGAGTAGCCCCAACATTGTGCTAATCCTTTTACTGCCCCTCGAGGCTTACTTAGACCAGCGGTACTGCGCGGTCTGCCTGCTAGCTCGTGATAAAGTTTCACGGGTGTGAGATAGTGGATACATGACGTGTGTATATGCGCCACTCGCCGCCACTCGCCGCCGTTTGACCTCTAGGGGCCCCTTTTTGCCATTGCGCTAAAACGCATCACAATCACACTCCCCGTCGTCGTTGCCGTCCTCGTCGTCATCGTCGCCCACGCTTTTCTAGTCGTCGTCGTCTTCATCGGCATCGTTCTCGTCTTCGCCGTCCATGTTCTCGTCGTCGTGTTCGTCTTCGTCCTCGTCCACGTCGGTCGTCGTCGTCGTCCTCCTCGTCCTCGTCGTCCTCGTCGTCGTCGTCCTCGTCGTCGTCTTCGTCTGAGTCGTCGTCCTCGTCGTCGTCTTCGTACTCGTCGTCGTTGTCGTCGTCGTCTTGCTCCTCGTCGTCGCCTTCGTCCTCGTCGGCCGTCGTCATCGTCATCGTCGTCGTGGTCGTTGTCATCGTTGTCGTCGTCGGCCTTGTCCTCGTCGTCGTCGCCCTCGTCGTCGTCGCTTTCGTCGTAATCGTCGTCTTCGTCCCTGTCGTCCTCGTTCTCGTCCTCGCCGTCGTCCTCGTCGTCGTCGTCGTCCTCCTCATTGTCCTCGTAGTCGTGGTCGTCCTCGTCGTCGTCGTCGTCGTCGCTATCGTCGTCGTCACGGTCTTTGTCGTCGCCGTCGTCCTCGTCGTCGTCGACGTCCCCGTCCTTGCCCTCGTCGTCGCAGTTGTTGTCGTCGTCGTCGCCGTCCTCGTCGTCCTCGTCGACGTTGTCGTCGTCGTCGTCCTCGTCGTCGTCGTCCTCGTCGTCGTCGTCGTCTTCGTCCTCGTCCTCGTCGTCGTCGTCCTCGTTGTCGTCGTCGGCGCCTTCGTCGTTGTCCTCGCCGCCGCCGTCATCGTCGTATTGCTCCTCCTCCTCGTCCTCGTCGTCGCCTTCGTCGTCGGACCTGTCCTCGTCGTCGTTTTCGTCGGCCGCGTCGTCGTCGTCCTTGTCCGTCCCCGTCTTCGACGTCATCGTCCTCGTCGTCGTCGGCGTCGTTGCCGTCGTCGTCCTCGTCGCCCTCTTCCCCCTCCTCGTCCTCGTCGTCGCCCTTCTCCTCCTCCTCATCCTACTCCTCCGCCTCATCGCCGTCGTCGTCGTCGTCGTCGTTTTCGTCCTCGTCGTCGTCGACCTCGTCGTCCTCCTCGTCTTCGCCCTCGTCTTCGCCCTGGCCCTCGTCCTCGTCGTCGTCCTCGCGTCCGTCGCCCACGTCGTCGTCATCGTCCTCGTCGTCGCCGTCGTTTTCGCCGCCGTGATCGACGGCATCCTCGTCGTCGTCATTGTCCTTGTTCTAGTCGTTGTCGTCGTCGTCGTCATCGTCCTCGTCGTTGGCGTTGTCGTCGTCGTGTTCGTCCTCGTCGTCCCCGTCGTCGTCGACGTCGTCGTCCTCGTACTCGTCCTCGTCGTCATCGTTTCCGCCCTCGTCGTCCATGTCGTCATCGTCGTTGTCCTCGTCCTCGTCGTCCTCGTCGTTGGCGTCGTCGTTTTCCTCGTCGTCGTCGTCGTCCTCGTCGTTGTCGTCGGCCTCGTCGTCGTCGTCGTCGTCGCCGTCTTCGTTGTCCTCGTCGTCGTCGTCCTCGTCGTCGTCATGGTCGTCCTCGTTATCGTCATTGTCGTCCTCGTCGTCGTCATTGTCGTCCCCGTCGTCGTCGTCGTCTTCGTCCTCGTCGTCGTCATCGTCCTCGTCGTCGTCGACGTCCTTCTCGTCGTCCTCGTCTTCGTCGTAGTCGTCGTTGTGGTCGTCGTCGTCATCAGTCTCATCCTCGTCCTCGTCGTCGTCGTTCACGCCCTCGTCGTCGTCGTCGTCCTCGCCGTCCTCGTCGTCGTTGTCGTCGTCGTCTTCGTCGTCGTCCTCGTTATCGTCGTTGTTTTCGTCCTCGTTGTCCTCGTCGACGTCGTCATCGTCCTCGTCGTCGTCGTCCTCACCGTCGTCGTCGTTGTCGTCCTCGTCGTCGACTTCGTCGTCGTCCTGGTCCTCGTCCTCGTCGTCGCCCTTATCCTCCCCGTTCTTGTCCTCGCCGTCGTCGTCGCCGTCCTTGTAGTCGTCGTCGTCCTCGTCGTCGTCGTCCTCGTCCTCATCGTCCTTGTCCCCGTCGTTGTCCTTGTCGTCGTCGCCGTCCTTGTCATCATTGTTCTCGCCGTCGTCGTCGACGTCGTTGTTCTCTTAGTTGGAGTCGTCGTGCTCGTCGTCGTCGTCGTGCTCGTCGTCGTCGTCGTCGTCCTCGGCGTCGTCGTCGTCCTCGTCCTCGTCGTCCGCGTCGTCGTGGTCGTCCTCGTCGTCGTCGTCCTCGTCGCCGTCGTCCTTGTCCTCGTCGTCCTTGTCCCCGTTGTCTTCGTCCTCGTCAACGCCGTCGTTGTCGTCTTCGTTCTCGCCGTCGTCGTCGTCGTCGGTGTTCTCGTCGTTGGAGTTGTCGTCCTCGTCGTCGTCCTCGTCCTCGTCCTCGGCGTCGTCGTCGTCCTCGTCGTCCGCGTCGTCGTCGTCGTTGCCGTCGTCGTCGACGTGGTCGTCGTCGTCCTCGTCCTCGCCCTCGCCTTCGTCCTCGTCGTCCTAGTCGTCGTCGTCCTCATCCTCGTCGTCCCCGTCGACGGCGTCCTCGTCGTCCTCGTCCTTGTCGTCGTCGTCGTCGTTCTCGTCGTCCTCGCCGTCCTCGTCGTCCTCGTCGTCGTCCTCGTTGTTCTCGTCGTCCTCGTCGTCGTCGGCGTCGTCGTCGTCCTCGTCGTCCGCGTCATCGTCGTCGTGCTTGTCGTCGTCGTCGTCTCCGTCCTTCCTGCCTCGTGGGCGCGCCGCGCCTAGGGATGCGGCGCCTTCGTCGCGTGGCGGTTCGCCGCAGAGGGGGTTCGATTTGGGGCTTTCGGCGGAGGTGCCCCGTCTGGGCGCTTCAGCACGGAGGTCGGAGTGGTCCCCCACCACCCGGAGGTCGGAGTGGTCCCCCACCACCCGGCCAGAGGAGCGCCCGAAGGAAAGCCCGCCCCATGTGGGCGGGAGACGCGTCCACATCCGCCGTGTCCCAGGGATCCAGGGCCCGTCTTCGGCAGCCGTGGGCGTGAGGTTTGCCCTGCGGTGCGTCCGCGCTGGTAAGCTGTGATTCCGTACTGGGTCCTGGCCCACCCCAGGCCGCGGGCCTCCGCCCAAGACGTGCCCCCATCGGCCCTCGCAGAGCCCTCGCCCGATGAGCTCGACCTTGTTGCAGTCTAGGGCAACAGGTGGCAAGCAAAGTCGGTGTCTGCTCCTCCGCCGGAGGAGTGGCTGAACGAGTGGTGGGCCCCAGAGAACGCCTCCAGCCAGCCCGACGCCGAGGAGCGGCTGCCAGCGGTCGACGGGGAGGGGCGGTTCGTCGACGCGGAGACAGCGACGGCGATTGTGGGCCGGCTTGCAGAAGGGGGGGAGCTCTAATCAGAGGCAACGCTAGGGGTGGATAGGCTCGGGGGGGGGAATCGACCACCGATCGCCCATGGATCGCCGATAGGGGCTGGCAGCCCACCCCGCCCATGAACGCGCGGATTCGCTATCGGGGCCTCATCGCCGATCTATCGGCGATGAATCTACGATTATAGCCCTCCTGAACCAGTCCCCCACTACGGTCGGACGGAGGTGTAAGATTGAGGTCGTTTCGGGGAGGATGCCCTGATGTTCTTCATGGTTGTTGAATGTTTGTTGCATCATTGGGCAGGGTATTCCCGAATGTTCTTCAGTTTGGCCGGCGGAGCGTCTCGTGTCCTTGAGGGATGTTTTTTTTTGTTCTAGGTTTAAGTTGGGCCTGTCCCTCTACAGGGGGACTATTTTTTATTTCGTTTGCACTCCATTTTGGAGTATTTTTGAATATTTTTTATCTTTAGCCCAAAATCCCCCTGTAGGGGAACACGCCCGACTTATTTCTAGGTCCGACCGTAGCGTCATCCCTCATCTAGGACTCGGAGGATCATATATACCCCCTCCGCAAATGGCCCTCTTGCGGTTCTCTGGAAGGCGGCGCGGCCGCAGTTTTCTCGCGGGCTTGCGACCGGCCGTCGGGTCCAGGGCGGTATTCACTGAAGGGTGCGTCTGCAAAAAGGCTCTCTGTCCATCCCCGAAACGCGGCAGCGGGCTTGTCGGCAGGGCTCAGCCTCTATTGCGAGGCATGTCATGTAGCGCCGGGGAAACGTAAGACTCGAGTGCGCCGGAACTCGGGTTCGCCCACGTTTTTTGACGAGCGCGTCCTGGGTTTTAACAGTCCAGTTTTCGGGGGATGTTTGCGGCGGGAGCTCGCGTCAAGTTTCAGATTGGGTCTCGTCATTTTCATGATGGCGCAGGCCAATCTGAGTCCCCCGAGCCCCAGTCTTACGTCTTCCCAATAGTGGGAGGTGTGAATGGGCAGACGGAGGGAGGGGTGGAGGATGATCGCAGCATTGGCGTTGACTGTGTGCATGCACACATTGTGTCCAGCTGCACCCCGCCCGTTCAATCTGTTTTGCTTCTCTCTTTCCCTTGCGTCCCAGGGCGTCCTCGGACGATCCTCGGTGGCATCGGTGGAGTCCAAGCCGAAACATTTCGGAAGGGCTCGGGGGCTCCAGAGAAGGCATCTCAGGAGGCGGGACATTGCTCGGCACGGGGGAGGAGGAGGAGTAGGAGGAGGAGGAGGAGGAGGAGGAGGAGGAGCAGGAGGAGCAGGAGGAGGAGGAGGAGGGGGCCCTGGGGAGGAGAGGGGCCCTGGAGACCTATCGCCGATTACCCGGGGGCCCTGAGCCGTCTCCCCTGGGGCCCCCGGGAGCGTCGAGGCACGAGCTCGGGACGGGGCGCTGTGCTCGGGAAGAGCTCCGGGGTCCGGGGCCGCTTCCAGGCGACCCTGATGGGCCTGTTTTCCACCACCACCACAAGATGGAGGGGGAGGGTGTCCTCCTTCCCTCCTCCTCCTCCTCCTCCTCCACCTCCTCCTCCTCCTCCCCGTCCTCCTCCTCCTCCTCATCCTCCTCCTCCTCCTCCTCCTCCTCCTCTTCGTCCTCCTCCTCCTCGTCCTTTTCCTCCTTCCCCCCTGCAATTCATGGTGGTGGTGGTGGTGGTGGTGGTGGTGGTGGTGGTGGTGGTGGTGGTGGTGGTGGTGGTGGAAAACAGGCCCCTCACCCCTTCCAAAGCATGCTCGCGAGGTGAACAAATCAGGACGGGCCGTTTTCGGCCTCTGGAGGCCTTCGCCGGGGCCGTCAAAAAATGTTCAAGATGAAAAATTTCTTCAGGAAGGGGTGGGGACTCCCTGGGACCGCGCATTGAAAAACCAGGACGTCGCATGACTGGGTTTCCTTCATGCCAAGGCTGCCGCGAAGAATGCAGCAGAGGTTGCCGCGGAGAATGAGACAGCCGACACCGCGCCCTTGGCGAGGGTGGACGAGGACGGGCGGGAGGCTGACGCGGAGAACGCTAAGGCGGTCGCAGAGGCTGCCACGGAGAATGCAGCAGCGGTTGCCGCGGAGAATGAGACAGCCGACACCGCGCCCCTGGCGTGGGTGGACGAGGACGGGAGGGAGGCTGCCGCGGAGGACACGAAGGCGGTCGCAGAAGACGGCAACAAGCAACAGCGTGACTTCTCCGAGATCCGCGCGAACATCTTGGGTCGGCGCTGCAAGCCCCCTGCCTCCCTGCACACCTGGCGGCGCCCCCGGCCCCCGCCCTCTGCACGCGCCGAGCTCTGGCGCGCCCCGCGGACATCCGATCCTGGCCATTGGGGAAGCAGGTCCTGAGGGAAACGGGTCCTGGGGTCTTTCCCTGGGACTGTCCGAAAACGACTCAGGATGAAGAGCTCGTCCTGGGGGACGGCCCCGGTTCCAGGACCCGTTTCCCCCATGCCAAGATCCACGGTGCGCGGAGCGCGCTGCATGCCTCTCGCGCGCGCCTGTCGAAATCGTTGGAAAACCCTTATGCGCTTGTGGGGGGGGCGCGATCCCTGTCAAGCAGTACCACGCGGGACACTCGCGCGCGTCGGCCACGTGGAACTCCTTCCAGAGCCTTCATCACCGACACGTGGACACCACCGTGGGGCGGCGGCGGCGCCGCCGCCAGGGGTGTGTCGGGGGCGGCCAACAGCGGGGCGATGACTACGGGGAAGGGAGGTCATGACTGGGGCCGCGATGACTCCCGCCCCCTCTGATTTCAACGCATCCCCTGGCCCTCCTTGGAGGCTTGCACGTGCCTGGAGCCATGATTTGCGCCCCTCCTCTTGGACGCCCCCCTCGTGGACGCCCCCGAGTGCGGGGGGGGTGGAGGGGAGGCCAGCGACGGCTCAAGACACCCGCGTGGACCTCCGAAGTCCCATGCTCAGCAGTGTTGCTTCCTGTCGTCTTCGAGGCTGCCATGGAGAACGCGACAGCTGATGCGGCGCCCGCGGCGGAGGTGGGGCCAGGACTGGACCTAAACGGTGGTTTGGCGATTTCGTGGGCCGTTTTCGTTTCGATGTTGTTTTGTGTTAAAGGCGGATTGAAGACAGAACGAGGGAAACCGAAAACAACACGAAAACGAAAAACACCGTTTAGGTTCAGCCTTGTGGGGGGCATTTCCTAGAGGAAAGGGCGCTTCCTCGAGGAAGCGGCGACGCCCCCAGTGGTGACCCCCTTCGGCATGGCCCCAGAAGAGGAGTGGGAGGGCTATCGAAGACGCCCACGGCGAATCACCCCCGCCCCCTGCCTTTTGGACTCGCCCATGAGGCCGAACTTCGTGGCCAAAGCTCTGCCAAGCTATCGGACCATGTGTTCCCCCAGCCGCTGCGGAAACCGCTCGGGGAAAAATTTGGGGAGGATGGCGGGGAAGACCAGGAGGAGGAAGAGGAGGACGAGGAGGAAGAGAGGAATAGGAGGCGGAAGAGGCTGAGGATGAAGAGGAGTACACTTGGGGCCTCTTGGGAGCTTCCAGTGGGCCTTTGGGAGGTTTCTTGGAAGCCTCCTTGGACCTCTTGGGGGCGTTTTGGGGCTTCTTGGGGGGCCTCCTGGGCTGTATTAGGGCGTTCTTGGCCCGTTTGACGTTGTCGGACGCCGTCTTGGATGCCTCGGGGCGCTTCAGAGCGTCGTTTTGGGATGCCATATTGGGCGTCTTGGAGACCACTTGAACCATCGTGAGGCCCCCTTGGGGCCACCTTGGAGTCTTCTTGGGGAGTCACGGGTTCATCTTGGAGGCTTTTGGGGCCAACTTGGGGCGATCTTGGGGAGCTCTTGAGCCGTCGCAAGGCCGAAAAGAAGCAAACGGTAAAATCAATCAACAACTCATGGAATTCAATGATGTTGGCCTCTTCTAGCCCTCCTGGAGAACGCCTCTTGGGCCGTCTTGAAGGCATTCTGGGGGCCCAGGGCCGTCTTGGGCCGTCTTGGAGCTGCTTGGGCGGACTTGGACGCCTTGGACCCTCGTGGGCCGTCCAGGTGGCCCTTCGGGACCATTTTGGGCAGTTTTGGAGGCCGTCTTGGGCGTCCTGGAGGGCCCTCATGGGGCCGTCTTGGAGGCTTCTTGGGGCGTCACGGAGCCATCTTGGAGGCATCTTGGGCGATATGTGGACGATATTTTGGGTTTCTTGGGCTGTCGTGGGGCCATCCTGGAGGCCAAAATGAAGCACAAGGCAACGTCGCTCAAAAACCGAAGGGGAATCAATGATGTTGCCTCTTGGGGCCCTCCTGGGGGACCTCTTGGAGGCCTCTTGGGTCGCCTTGGAGGCCTCTAGGGCCGTCTTGGGCCGTCTGGAGGCCATCTTGGGCAGTTTTGGAGTTCGCTTCAGGCCATTTCGGGTTCTGTTGGGCCAATCTTGGGCGTGGAGGCCATCTTGGGCGTCTTGGAGGCCGCGTGGGCCGTCTTGTGGCCATCATGGGGCCGTCTTGGGGGCCTCTCGGGCCGTCGTGGGGCCATCTTGGAGGCCTCTTGGGCGATGTGTGGGCGATCTTAGGGGCCTCTTGGGCCGTTGGAAGGCCGAAAAGACGCAAAGTGCAACATCTCTCAAAAGCCTGGGGACAATCAAGAATGTTGGCCTCTTCGGGCATCCCCAGAGTAATTACCTCTTGGAGGCTTCTTAGGCCGCTTTGGAAGCTTCTTGGATCATCTTGGGCCACCTTGAGGCCATCTGGAGGCCATCTTAGGCCGTCTTCGGTGCATCTCGGGCCGTCTTGAAGACATCTGAAGGCCATCTTGGACTCTCTTGGGGCCACCGTGGGCGCCTTGGAGGCATCTTGGGAGCGTCTTGGAGGGATTTTGGGCCATCTTGGCCGTCAAGGAAAGAGGCCACTGTGGGGCCACCTGACCAAAAAAGCCGACGAGAAGAGCAGCCGGCGTCATCGGCCGAAGCCACAGGGGGGGTCTGAAAAAGAGCCCAAACCATTTCAACTTTGGCACGCCAGGCACCCCTGTAATGAATCAACAGGCGGTGGCGGATCTGATGGCCTTCGGCCCTTCCCGCCACCCTGCCTGCGTTGTGGGTCATAGGCCTCTAGGATGTTCTTTGGGATGTCGCGGGAGGCCTCTCGGGGGTTTCTTGGGGGCCGTTTGAGCCTCTTGGGAACCGTTAGGGGGCTTCTTGGGGCGCCTTCGGGGCCTCTTCGGTGTCTCTTAGGGCCTCTTGGGAGCCTCTGGGGGCCACCTGGGGGCCTCTTGGGTCGGAAGACTCGGAGTTTCTGTTCGTGTTCCCCCTTGGGGCTATCTTAAGGCCGCATTGGGCGCCTCTGGCACCGTCTTGGAGCCCTCGGGGCCTTGTTGAGGCCCTCCTGGAGGCTTCTTCGGCCGTCTTGGGGCGATCCTGGGGGCCTCTAGGGCCGTCTTGGAGCGTCGGGAACTCGAAAAGTCGAGGACCCCACAATTTTTTGGAAAAACCCACGATCCGCTCGAGGGGTGCGCCGAGATGGGCGGGGGCCCGCTTGAGTGCATGTAAGATGGAGCCGCAGACGGAGCTCCCTGCGGGGCACGATCCGCACGAGGGAGGTGCTGAAATGGGAGAAGGCTCATGTGCGAACGCGCATCCATAGATCTCACTATCTATTTTTCGATCAACCTCACGGGAAACCATCGAGGCACCATCGGGACATCGGGACATCTTCTGGACACCACGGGGGCACTTATCGGGGCACAATGAGGACACCGTCGGGACACCATCGGGAAACCATTGGGACATCAGCGGGGCAACGTCGGGACACCGCCAAGACACCATCGTTACTCTGCCGGGAAACCAACGGGAGACCCCCGGGCCACCACCGTCCAACCGGGGGCCACAGCATCATTTGGCCCAGTTTCGCCCTGGCCACGGTGGGTTATTTTCACTCACCCGCCGACGGAGGTTCGCGTCGCCCGAAAGCCCGAACACGAGACCGAAACCGATTTCCCCGTGGGGGGGCGCGCCGTTTCATTTCTATCTCACCACCCATCCTCCAGCGTAACATGTGTGTATATGTCGCCACATACACATCGATATACATTTACACATACATATACATATAAATTTCAATATACATGTACATATCCATATACATATACATGTTATTGATATGCACGTATATGTGTATATAAACCGATAGGTCGGACCACCCTACGGGTGATAAGGAGGTTGGGGGGAAGGGGGAGGTGGTCGATTTGCAATGTTTATGACTTCCTTCCTGTTTTCTTCAATTATCGGATCTATCACTCGTCCGACTTACCGAGTTAACTATTCAGAATACCCATATATCTACATACCGATATATACAAACAGATGCACTTCCAGATCGATCTGTCAGCGACAACAGCAACACCAACACAAAACATATCATCACTAACAACCCACATCAACAACAATAACAGCAGCAACAGTCATCTTAAGAGTGTTCGCTCCTATCTGCTCATGTGCCAATCAATACGTCGATCGTATTTCCCAAACCCTCGGCACCCGCCCTCGTCGTCTTCGATTGTACCTCCTTTTGGGGCATACTTTCCTTACCTGCCACGTGCATGTAGTGCAGCCCCTAAAACAAGGGAAGGGAGGGCGGGTGGAAGGGGGAGATTGAAGAATAAAGCACGAGAGAAATTAGCAGGAGGGGGGCAAGAAACAGAAAATGATGGCTAGAACCAGACGGGCAGATCGGGTGGGCAGACCCATAGCGGGCAGGTCGGGAAGGCGAGCCCAGGCGACCAGGTCGAGCAGGCGGGAAACTGAAGCGTGGGTCCTGCATGAATCGCGAGGAAGTCTCGAGCGATAGCGCGATTCCTAAGTGAATCGTGAGAGAAGCCAAAAAGCGAGAGCGTGATTCCTGAGCGAGGGCGCATCGTCTGAATAAATTGCGAGGGCGTCCCACGCGAGAGCGCGATGCGTACATGAATTGTGAGGAAGTCCCGCGCGAGAGCGCGATATTGGAATGGATGATGTGAAGAAGTATCAGGCGGGAGCCGTTGTTGTTGTTGTTGTTGTAAATCCGTGGGCCAGGGGCCCAGTTTGAGCCGAGTGACTTTCCTTTATAAAAAACAGCGAGCCCTGGGGGAAGCACTTCGATTGAAAAAACACAATGGTCACCACAATAAGTAGTCTTTAGTAACGAGAGCGCAACATTCCGCACCGCAGAACCTCACTTAAGCCACGCGCCCAGGAGCAGTGAATGACCGCTCGGCCCCGTCACTCTGACGTTTATATACACGCTCCTATACGACCACCCTTCGGGTGACTGGCAGGTTGTGGGGGGGAGGAACCTGCATCTCATTCAATCGATCTCATTATCGATTACACGGTCGATGTCACCAGCGATCGCAATCGCTATCTTGCTATCAGGCAGTTTGGCTATATGTCGAATTCGGTATCGACTGGCCTTACTATCAGTCGATAATATGACCGATGTACCGATATTACTATCGACATCGCGATCGATCTCACGACCGATGTCACTACCGATTTCTTTATCTATCGATCCTACGATAGATCGATCCCATAATCGGCCACCTGATCGATCTCACCATCGATTCGGGACACCACGGGACCTCACGGGACACCGCGCCACGTGACACTTTGGGACACCAGTTGGCAAACCCCAGGCCACAGGAGCCCAACCGGAGAGGTAGACTCATTGGATTCAGGTTCGCCCTAGCAACGGCGGGACACCCCCGGGCCACCGCCGGCCAACTGGGGTTGAGTCATTGGGTTCAGTTTCGCCCTAGAAACGGCGGGTTCGTTTCTATCGCCCGCACACGCATCCTCGCCTCGCCCGTACGCGCGATTCGAACGCGGAAGCGAAACCGATGCTATTGGTGGGGTGTCTCCGTTTCTATTCGAGCTCAACCCCGAACCTCCGATATATGGTCGCGAGCTCCGGGCCCACGGGCCCCCCCCCCCAGATGGGATGGGTCCCAGGGTCCTCGGCCCCCCCCCAGATGGGACGGGGGGGGGGATGGGGAGGGGGAGGAGGAGGAGGAGGAGGAGGAGGAGGAGGAGGAGGAGGAGGACGAGGACGAGGAGGGGGAGGAGGAGGAGGAAGAGGAGGAGGAGGAGGAGGAGGAGGAGGAGGGCACTCCTCGATCCTCGCTGGGCCCCATTTTGGCAGTCTCCGGCAGGCCACCCCGCCGGAGGAGGGGAAGCCGGCCGCCGCGAAGGAGGCGGGCAAGAGCACCGCGGAGGCGCGGGGCATCCCAGACGCCCAGTGGCCCTCTTCCTCTGGCTGCTCCTCCTGCTGCCCATCCGCCTCATCCTGCGTATTGACATATTGGCACGTTTTGATGTCCGTCGTCCTCCTCCTTCTCCTCCTCCTCCGCTTCCTCCTCCTCCTCCTCCTCTTCCCCCTCCTCCTCTTGGACCGAACTGGACAGGAGTCCTCCCCTTCCTCCTCCCCCTGCTCCTCCTCATCCTCCTCCTCGTCCTTTTTTACGTTCGACGACCATTAGGTGCAAGGCCTGTTGCATCCGTGTGATGGAAAAAAGTGACGCAAGCCTGTGCCGCAAAAGTGCGGACTGAACGAGGGCGCCTGGCGGCTGTAGGCGTGGAGAAGTGTAGTACCCAAAATATATTGCAGGCACAAGTGAAGCAAGGAACCTCCACCAACATCATCAACCGCCCCCCCCGTCCATACGAAGGTCCCTCGCCGAGGGAAGTGCAAGCGCCTATACAGCGATGCCCCTTGGCCCACGCCGCGGGCAGTACCTGACTCCGCCTGCGTGGCGGGCCTTCTGCGAGGAACTACAGCTCCTCCTCCTCCACCACCCCCCACACTACAACGCGCCAACCTCCCTCGGTTCATCTAGCATGGGGTTCGAGGCTGCTCTTTGGAGTTTTCGCTTCACCCGAAGCCTCCCTGGTGTTTTTCGTATTGTTCGGGTTTGGCACCAAACCCAGTGGACAAACAGGTAGGACGCGCCAAATGCGCGCCTCATTCGAGCGATATTCTCACCCTCCTCGATAAATAAGTTAATGACAGTTGGGGAAATGTATGTATAAGCGCCGTTGAATACATTGGGAGGCTGGGTAAATGATGTAAGTACGCCGCCCTGACATATGAGGTACACGCACACGTTCACGTTGATCTTCTCATTGAAGGTCCCCGGCCCCTCGACGACGACGAACGTCTGTCAATGGATTCGGATCCGTCAACAAGTATTCCCCCCTCTGCGTGAGATTCCCCATCCCATCTCACAGGCAACCCGAAGCATACCAACACGATCCGCACGCTCATCTGCTTGAGAGAAGACGATCCAGCCAGATTTAGAGGTCACGCGGGGGACCGAAGTCCAGAACCCATCTGGCAACTGAGAACACTGCTCCACATCTATGTCGTCCACTTCCTCTGCGTCAGGCGGTCTCGCTGCACTTGCTGAATGCACCGAATCCCAGCTATGATTCTAATGGCGTGTAGTGCTGGCTTGGAGGCTGACCAGGCACGCCATAGGTCGTGATCCACTTCCAGCTGTATGCCTTGTCTCTCCGCGTGCTTCACGTACTGCACTCCCGAAGCCTTCGCGCGTTGAATCATCGACGTCTCGAGGAAAATCGACCACGCCAGCTTTATATCAGTCGCGCTCCTGGTGCCAAAGATCGCAGAATAATAGACTGGATGCAGCAGTGCGTTCTGAGCCCACCATCCGCCGTAGCACCACCAGGTGCAACTTGTCCGCCACGCGGCTTTCGCCAATGACCTCGTCGCGAACTCGGCAGGGGGTGGAACCGCCAGATGGCTCGCCCAGGGCCAGCGCGGTTGCGGGCGCGCCAGCGCCAGTTCCAACCTCGCCGGATTCGAACCAGAGATGGATGCCAGCACTGCAATACCATTCTGAAGCTTCTCCCAGCCACCTCTCGGGATAAATGTGCTGATTGGGATTTGTTGGCGCAGCCGCAATGTCTAGATGCTCGAACTTGGTGTCTTCGGGGTCCTGGTCGGACCGCGCCCGGCGCTTGGAAGTATTCTCGATGGCCAATCGACAATTCGATGCGTTGGTCGACTTCGAGATCATCGCGAAGTAACCCAGGAACTGCGCAATCAAGGGTCTGTCGCCCATGAAACAGCGCCCCTTGCGAGTCGGTTGCCGCGGCGTCAAATTTGTGATCGCAGTGGCTGGCGCCATTTCGTCGCCCCGCGGTAGCCCGCAGACAGGCTGGATGGGGCTCGGCCAAGGCGCCCAGAATAAAGCGCAGGCGCGGTTCAGACCAGGCCGCAAAGCACGCAAACATCACAATATCTGGCAACTCGGACTTGTCGAGGCTCTCGAGGGCGATGGCGCGTAACATCTTCTCACACGCCATGGTGAGATCCAGCTCTGCCCCGCCGGCGGCCCCCGAGCAGCCCCGTAGCCGCGCCGAGGTGGCGCGAAGAACCGAATAGCCTCTACGATTTGCCTGCCGGTTGTCAGGCGGAGGGGGCGGCGCTGGCCAGAGCTTGTAGCCGCGTGCGCAAGAGAACCGAGCCCGCGCCGATGGGCCCGGCGTCGTTCTCGCCCTTGGGAGGGCCGGCCACGCGCCGGCCAAGCGCTCGGCGATGGACCCCTGGAGGAAGACGGCATCTGCGGCGCGCAGCTCCACGGGGCGCGGGGGGCCGCGGGCGCGCGACGGTTGGGGAAAGTTGCCCCGGGGCGCGCTGTTCCCTAAAGGTCCGGCCACCCAGGCCTGGGCATCCTCTTGCTCGTTAGATAGCCTCGGTGAACTGCTCGCGGGCGGGCCCCGAGTCTTGGGTCTGCGCGCTCTTCGGAAACGTCGCCGAGCTTGCGCGCTGGCGCCAGGCCGTCACGCGGGCGCTGGGGCAAATGTCGCGGGCTGGCCTGGCTGGCACCAGCGCGTGGCGCAACAGTTTCGCTGGGTCGATGCTTTCCTCCGCCTTCTCCTCGCCTCCTGCTCCGCCGCCGCCTCCTCCAAGATGCCCTCTCCGAGGGTCGAAGATAGCGGCGCCGCACGCCCGGTACGCGCGCTGTAGCCAACGTTGCAGCCTGATGCAGACGCCCGCGCACGCCGCGCACGTGGGCGGAACGTGGGAAAGGATTGATAAGATGTGCATATATAATGTATTCACATATCAACGCCGCTAAATGCATTGATAAGCTGGCGCAGTTTTCTTAGGCGGGCCTGGTCGGCACCAGTGCGCGGCGCAACTGTCGCGCGGGATCGACGATTAAGCTGGCGCGGCGCTGCTCGCGCGCCGGCAGGCTGGCGAGGCGGAGTCAGGGATGAACGCGGGAAAAGATGAGGCAGAGTATACACCTGTAGATATATATATATATATATATATATACATATATATATATGTGTGTGTATATATAGATATATGTATATCGATATATGTGCATATATGTGTTTATATACATATATATATATATATATATATCCATCGGAGGGCCGGCGCAGTTTCCACAGGGCGGCATGGTCGGCGCCGATGTATGGCGCAACTGCCACACTGGATCGATGCTTATGCCGGTGCAGCACTGCTCGTGCGTCGGCAGGCTGGCGAGGCAGAGTCAAGGATGAGGTGGCCCCCGCCCCCCCCCCCCCCGCCCCACCTCGCGTGCTCCTTCGCCTCGTCCACAATGCCCTCTCCGAGGGTCGGAGACAGCTGCGCCGCGCACCTTCGCCGAGGGCAGCTGGCCCCGAGGAAGCGCGCAGCACGGCCGACGTCGCGCGCGGCTGCTGACCTCGATGCAGATGCTCGCGCGCGCCGCGCGCGAGCGAGAGAGGAGGGGATGAATGTGTATAAACGCCGTTGAGTACATTGGAAGGTTGGCGCCTTTTTCACCGACCCGCCTGGTCGGCACCAGTGCGCGGAGCACCTGTCGCGCTTGATCAAGTTTGAAGCCGATGCAATGCTGTTTGTTTCCTGGCAGGCCGGCGCGGTGGAGTCGAGGGCGAGGCGGCGCCCCCCCCCCCCCCTCTTCCACTCCCCACGGCTCCCCCACCTCCTCCAAGATGCCCTCTCCGAGGGTCAAGGGCAGCGGCGCCGCGCGCCCTCGCCGAAGGCCGCGGTCTCCGAGGGGGCATGCGTCGCGCGGCCCATGTCGCGCCTGACAGCCGACCTCGATTCAGACGCTCGCGCGAGGCACGCACGCGAGCGAGTGAAAATATTAGGAATGCGCACAATTAAAAGTTAAAACGAGCGAAGCAGACGGGAAGGAGGGGGGGCGAGGGAGTTCCCCACCCCCCACCCCCCCTCCTTCCGCAGCTATTTTGGCTCGAGGCATTTTGGCTTAAGTGCGAGAAGCCCGGCGCTTCGCATTTGGTCGCTGCCGAGGGGGCGGCTCGAGGCGTTTGGCGCCCTGTCGACGAGCGATTTTTTAGCTGCTGAGAAGGGCAGCCCGCTTCCGACCATTCCGAGCGTCACTCCAGTGGGCCTCGGAGCTTCGGAGACGGCGCCGCGCGGCCGCGAGCGGAAGAAGGGCGCGACTCGACATCGGCAAGAGGAACCATTCGAGCACCATTCCATCAGCGCGTCGAGAAGTGCACGGAACTGGTCTCCTTCGGACAGTCGAGACAAGTCGCGAACGGAAGGCTCGAGGCGTGGCAGTCGACGACGTCGGAAATCCACATTGAGTCCCACTCCTCCCAGATGGGCTGCTGCCGCGCCAGATGGGGCGCCAGCCTGGGCGCGGGGGCCGATCGGGGAGATGAGGGAAACGGGCAATAAGATAGTGCTCCTGGAACTGTTTACGCAGCAGGGGGCGTCTGACCTGCGCGCCGCAGGCAAGCCCGCGAGGTCAACGCCGGAGCGTAGAATGGCAGGATGGCGGAGGTCGAGCGCAGCCAGATGGGCGCGATTACGCAGGCGGCGCAGACGGCTGCGTCGGCGGCAGACCGCAGCAAGATCGAGGCCCTGGACGCAAATGTTGCCGAGCTCGCGGGCCGCCCTGCGGCGTCAGCCAACGCGCCAAGTTCAGCGGAGTCCGGCTCGGCGCTGAGAGCACGACGTGACGAGGCGCCTGGGAACGCGCTCAGGCGCTGGTTCGGTACCATTCCCAGGATTCTGACTTACGCACGACGCAAGAGTTTCTACCGCCGGCACATGTAGCCGGCCATCCCACAGCAGCTGAGGGGCGGCCTCTCGCTCCACACATCGAGAACAGGGAGGAGCTTCGCCGTGGACTTCGCCGCCGGGGTGGCCGCCCGTAAGCTCCTGAACTTCTTCGTGGACCGCCAGCTGATATGGACCGAC